AAATGAAAAACCGTAGCTGGAGCCTCTACCTCTCTTCATATCTAGCACTCGTCTTCTCAATCTGACAGCTCCGCCAGCAACTCATCCTCATCGGATTCTTCGGGCGCTAGCAGGTAGTCCGGCAAGGCCTCCTCTCCCAACCTAGGACCTTCCAGCAGAGCGATGACTGGGTCATGTGACCCGGATTTGTTGGCCAAATGCGCGAGATCCAAGGCAGATTGGCCTTCAGCCGTCACTTCCTGGTGGTCGGCACCATTTAGGAGGAGAAACAGCACGGCACGATCGTCTCCTTAGACCGAGGGCAGGTTGGAAAGCATTGGGAGGTAATCAGGACTCCACCAAATGGTGAAAAAGAATTACACCTACAGGGGGGTCAGGTATAGGCTAGGCATATATATGTGCATGCCCTCTTTACTTTTCTTCGGAGTGTGGCAGGTAATGGCTCAAAAGGATCTTCTGCAAGTCGCAAAACCACTGCCTTCGCACCAAACAATTGGTCCACTGCCTTCGTTTCGCTTGCCGGGACGCAGTTGAAACCAAAGGTAGTGGACCAATTAGGACGCTTTAGACGCTTTAGGTCCATGTTTGATGACATTGACCACCTAGGAAACATCCAAGTTCACCCATGTTCACCACGAGATGATCTATGACTGTGGGTCAAGTGTTCACCCGGGCACCCCTGTTTGGTTCTTTCCCTACCCCCCGGGGTCATGAGCAGATTCCTTCGTGTCAAAACCGAACCGGTGCCGGTCCCCCAACGCCGGTGAAGGGCCGGCCCTGCGGGTGTTGGTGTTACAGAATGACTCCAGTCATTAAAAAGAAAAGGTGAACACTCCAGTCACTTGAATCATTTCTCACAAAAGACCTTCCCCGGAACTGGAGACCTTCCCCCAGCTTCCCAGGGCGGCGTTCGCGCACCCAGCACCCTCCGCGGAGGCCGAGCTCGAGCTCCGCGGCCGCGGACCGCGCCGAGGAGCCCCACATGGCAGCCAAGTGGATTGGAGCGACGTCTCCATCGGCCTCACCTGCAGTGGATGGGAGCGACGCCTCTTATCCTCCAAGTCTGCCTGTACCAGTCTTCGACGGCTCAGGAAGGGCGATCGGGTTTTTCCAAGAAGTGATGGAGTACAGTTGGATACTGATAATCTTCCAACCTTCGGGCTTTGGTAATCTCTACTTTCCAAGAGAGGAATGATGACCATGATTCATGATCTAATTACTAATGGAATCTGAGGAATGAACCATAATTTTAATTAACGCCATATCTTCCGGAGTCGGGAGTGAGGGAAACTCATCTTCCATCTCCGATGAGTCTCATGTGCATGTGACTCACGAGTCAAAGAAACCAAAATGCGCCAGCACATTGAAGATCCACGGCCTTTTTACAGTTGGTTGATGAATACATTCCCTACAGAGCCACTGGCACCCTCTGAGGGATCCCATGTTTTCGACACTGTGGCTAGTAGGTACCAGGGCGGTCCAGGAGAATACCGAAACTGACTGGACCTAGGGATTGTTGTGTAGATATACCAAAATGCTGCCTGTTTTTCTGATTCTCACTGGATCCTGGATGTGGGAGTAGGTCACGGATTGTTGGAACGAGTAGATCACGACAAAAAGGCTGGGAGGTTTTGGCATGTCCCAACGCAAGACCCAATTATACAAGCATAGACCCCAAACAGCTTCAAAACGATTCGTTTAGACCAATATCAGTCAAAATCGATTTCTTGGTACGCCCTACTTTCACCCCAAGAGCAAACTGCTTCATCAATGAATTTTTGTCGGCATTGACATCGCTATTTGTTCGGTCACACTCCTCTCCGGTAAGCCAGGCCACAGACCAGCCACAGAGTTCAGGGGCGCGGCCAAGACAAGGACAAGAGGAGGACAAGACCCGGACACAGAGCCGGGCCACAGAGTTCAGGGGCACGGCCAAAACAAGGACAAGAGGAGGACAAGAAGAGGACAAGGCCCAGCCACAGAGCCCAGCACAGAGGACAAGAGGAGGACAAAAGCCCAGTAAGCCGTCCATAGCACACGAGCACACGCGCGCTCGCCCTGCTCTCTCTCTCTCTCTCTCTCTCTAAGTGTTTCTTTCTCTGTCTTTCTCTTTGCACAGCGCGCTCTGACCGCGCCTTTCTGGAGCGTGAGCGCGCCCGTCCATAGCACACAAGCGCGCACGCTCGCCCTGCTGCCTTTCTTTCTGTTTTCAA